AAAAAAAAAAAAAAAAAAAAAAAAAAAAGCACGGAGAGGCCAGGGCTGTGTCAACGTGAGTGAGGACCAGAGAGAGACAAGTGACTGAGTGTCTGCCAGGCTCCTCAGTAATGACCACTGTGACTCCACAGGAACAGTTTCCTGAGTTGGGAAGCAGCCCAACTAGAGCAGCTGAGGACTCTTAAAGGGTGAAGTAATAGTAGCAGAAATGTGGGGTGAGGAAGACAAGGGCCAGGGAGTGGTTTTGCTTCAGACAGGAGAGAGCTGGGGATGATCAGGTGCTGACGGGGAGAAGGCGAGCAGAGGACACAGGGGCCAGTGGCTGAGCAGGGCCAAGTCCTGTGCGGGTGGGGGGAGAGGGGCAGGGCCCGAGGTGGCTGGCCCCAGCCAAGAGCTGCTGCCCCTGCTGACAAGGGGCTGGAGAAAGGGGACAAGCACACATGGCGGCGGGGCGCGGTGGCTGGTGACACGCTCCTTTCTGAGGACTGTTCCTTACACAGTGAGGAGTGAGGGAGAGCAGAGAAGGGGAGGCAAAGGTTTCTAGCAAGAGTAGGAGAGTCTGAAGCAATTATTAAAGAGAATGGGAGCATGATGAGATGACCTGAGAAACATGCAAGTTTGCCCAAGTAGATGCTGGTGACTACGAATCAACAGGGGTAACGATGCATCTACAGGTATGCCTTTCTCCACCAGCACTCAGCTGCCCCAGTCCCAAGAATGGGCAGTGATATTCATCAACTTCCATTTTATTTCTCATTAGATAATATACTTGCCTCTCACTGTAAACATCATAATGCAGTACTCAGTATAAATTAACTTATTATTTTACAAAGAGTATTTAATAAATATTTTGACTACCATCATCTGCTTCACCCCTTAAAAAAACTTACTTAATTAGATCCTCTTTAACAAAAAACCTTCAAAGCAAAAAATGGAGGTGAAAATCAAACCACAAACTGATTCAGAATCTAGGACTATCAGTGACAGCAGATCACGAGAGGCAGTGGAGTGCAGTAATTAAGATCACACACCTCAGAAAGTTCCCTAAACCTTGAAGTCACAGTTCCCAAAGTAAAATGAAAATCCAAACAGGGCAAGGCTCAAAATGCTGCCGGAGTAAACAAGATAAACAAACACCTGGAGCAGCTGCTGGTATGCACTCAGTAAACGGCAGCTATCTCGAAACGCAGAGGGAAAAAGTTGCAAGGATGTGTAAGTTAGAATTCTTTACAATCAAGGAAGCTATGAACCTTTCAGAGTAAATGACGTTATCATTCTAAAACCACTTGGCATCCAACACTGGTACGCCTGGGCACAGTGGAGGGCATGAATGAAGGGCTGTGTGACCGCTCACCTGGGGACTGTGTGTCTCACAGTCCATGGCCTGGACAGCAGCCGTGAAGTGCCCGCCGCTGTGCCGATGCTGGTGCGTTGGGTCCGACCTGGCTCTCCCACTGTTGCTCGTCCCCGATGATCCACCTGAAGTATCACAACACGGTACAGCTTGTGAGTGTAAAGTTAATTGTGTTCAAGTATATATCCTAAAACTATAACATTAAAACGGGAAGTGAGTCACCAAAAAAAAATCTGTATTAACCTGAAAGTATACCAGGAAGGCTTCCAATTCTCTATGTTCTTTCACATCAACCACTGAACTAAAATATGACCAAGTTTGGTTAAGTCAGGGGAAAACTCAAGCATGTGAACCAAGTATTTCCATTTTAAAAACAATTTTAAAATTTGGCTAATAAGGAGTATTGTTTCCAAGCAGAATTTATTATACGCATAATTAAATATTAGAACTTTGGGGGAGGTGAATTTTTTTACTAGCCACAAAGAATAGGTTCGGGAAAAATAATTTCTCCCACCCATTAACAAACTTTAAAAAACTTTAAAATAACCCCCACTTTGTAAAGAAAAGAGGAAACATTTCAAAGCCTAATATACTATCAAAAGAACAGACCTGAGCTTGAAGATGTACTGGAGGTGGTGCCCGAAGACTGTGACTGCTCCATGGCAGGACTCGTGGATACACTATTACTTGTATTTGTACCTTCATCAGCTGTTTTCTTGAAAAAACTGTGCTGCAGGGCATAGTAAGGTTGAATTCGAGTTTTGGGGTCATAATCAAGCATCCTTAAAATGAGGTCTTTGAACTTCAAGTAGTCAGCTACTGTATGACCCGATTCCCCAGCACGACGCCCACCAGGTCCTCCTGTTTCTACCCCGAGAATATTATGAAGTTTGCGGGTTCCTGGTGGTTTATACTCCTAAAGAGAAAAAAGATAAAAAGGCTTTCTCTAAATCTGATGGAATATGTAAAAGCCTACATAATGTCAAATATGCTCACATGTATGATAATGTTGAGGCCTTTATTAAAAAGAATGCTTTATAGTTAAGAGCCTCTATATTTTCACACATACTATTCCGAACACACTGCAGTTAGGAGAAATTCAATTTTGAGACCAGAAATGACTATAAAGATCATCTAGCCCAGAGATCAGCAAACTATGGCCTGGCTCAGAGCCTGTTTTTATATAGCCTCCACTATGAATGGTTTTTATATTTTTAAAGATTGTAAAAACAAACAAAACCAAGTAAGAATACTCAACAGAAGCCCACAAAGCCGAAACCCTTACTATGGGGTCCTTTACAAAGGGATTGTGCCAACCAGTGGTTGTGAACCGCTTTTCTGCCCAATACACCTGTGAACTCAGGGGCACTTACTCAGTAACAGTGGCTCATTAAAGCTTTAAAGATCACTCCTAATGAAGAATCATGGGTCTAACCCTACCTGCTCATATGCAGATAAAAGAATCAGAAGTAAATTATTTATGCCTCATTTTATTGATAGAAAATATGTTTAATAATAAATTGCCTTAACATGTGCTGAGATTTTCTGGGAACTCATTTTAACAGATAACAGTATAACCTTTAAAATCCCTATGAATACTGAATTTATTCAGAATAGTATCACTGGATTTTTGCTTCTAGGTACAATGTAGAAATTCGCAAGAGACCATTGCTCTTACTCTAAAATCAAGAACAAGTCAGGCAGGCAAACAACAAAATCACTGCTTTTTAAAAACCTATCAGAGAGCTGAGGACTAAAGAAACCAGATTAACTAAATTCTAGAAAATGAAGAGTCTTTCCTAGGAAAGAGACTTATGGTGGGAGAAGGAGCAAATGCCATAGATGTGACTAAGGAGAGTCCAGCCCAACTCCCAACCAACTTCTAACAGCCACGTGTGGCTGGGCCACAGGATGGCACAGGTAGACGACCCAGGGAGGGTCCCCCAGGGCGCTGCAGAGGTGGGGGGGGGCCAGAGCAGCATTATGGACACAGATCACCCCGAGGCACCAAGAGTTAGCAGCGGGTTGCTGGCTGGGCAACAATGCATAAAAGATCTCTCCAGTTTCCAAACACCGCTTAAAACCTATGAAGACAGTGGAGAATAGAATCTAAGTCAAGCAAACAAACAGAACAAAGCCCACATTCAGCTAAACTACAAATGAAACTGACTCAGTCTCATCACACTAGTAACCTGACAGAGTAAGCAGCATGCCTCTTTCTAAAGGGAAATAAAATTTACTTCCATCTCAACTGTTCTTAAATAGAGCAAGTCCAACATACATATAAAAAATTACAGACACATGAAACAAACAAACAAAAAGGGTCCATAATCAAGTGAAAAAAATAGTAGAAAACTCACATATATAAATGACCCAAATGTTGAAACAGACAGACAGGTATTTTAAAATAACTATGGGGCTTCCCTGGTGGTGCAGTGGTTAAGAAACCGCCTGCCAACGCAGGGGACATGGGTTCGAGCCCTGGTCCAGGAAGATCCCACATGACGTGGAGCAACTAAGCCCGTGCGCCACAACTACTGAGCCTGCGCTCTAGAGCCCATGAGCCACAACTACTGAGCCCATGTGCCACAGCTACTGAAGCCTGTGCGTCTAGAGCCCGTGCTCCACAACAAGAGAAGCCACCGCAACAAGAAACCCGTGCACTGCGACAAGGAGTAGCCCCTGCTTGCCACGACCAGAGAAAGCCTGCACGCAGCAACAAAGACCCAACGCAGCCAAAATTAATTAATTAATTAATTAATTTTAAAAAATAACTATGATAAAAAGAATTTAGTTCAAAAGTTAGGTAATGTGTGGATAGACTGGGGGGTGTTATTTAAAACTATTTTTTTTCTTTTTTTTTTTGCGGTACGCGGGCCTCTCACTGTTGTGGCCTCTCCTGTTGCGGAGCACAGGCTCCGGACGCGCAGGCTCAGCAGACATGGCTCACAGGCCCAGCCGCTCCACGGCACGTGGGGTCTTCCCAGACCGGGGCACAAACCCGTGTCCCCTGCATCGGCAGGCGGACTCTCAACCACTGCACCACCAAGAAAGCCCCAAAGTATTTTTTTTTTTAAAAGATAAATTAAGTGAAAACACTAGAACTAAAAAAAATGCAGAGCATCCATTTAATGGTTTTAACAGCAGACTGGGCTCAAAAGAAGAAAAGCAATCAGTGAACTAGAAAGACAGATCAAAGAAATTATCTAAACTAACACACAAAAAGAAAAAATGAATAAACCAGAGACCTCTAATAGTAAGCAGTATAACATATATTTAATTGAATAATTAGCAGAAGAGAGAGTGAAGCAGAACAAATATTTGAAAGGATGATGTCTGAGCACTTTCAAAAATTGATGAAAGAGATTAACCCACAGATCTAACAAACTCAGCAAACTCCATGGAGAATAAATACAAGAAAAACTATACATAAGAACCTAATAGTCAAACTGCTGAAAAATCAAACATAAAAAAAAGCAAAAAAAAAAAAAAAAAAAAAAAGGGTGAAAGAGGTTGAACGAAAAGATCTACAAAATTCATACCAGCTTTTATATGTCATGTTTGAGTGCATCACCCAAATTGCTTGCTTCTTTACTCTTCTCTTCCACAGAAGATCCCTGTGCTAAAGGCATTTTCCTTCTTCGTTATATCCCCAAGTTCTCTTTCTAAGCGCACCTTGAGAAGACCCGAGCTTGCTTTCTAGCCCTACCATTCCTGGCTGTGGTCGCCAAAGAATTTATTTAACACTCTTGAATCTCAGTTTTCTGATGTGTAAAAATGGAACTAAGAATATCTATTATTACTATCTGTCGTCGTCTTCTTATTGTGAGAATCAAATAAAAACATCTTAAGTTATAATAATGAAAAAAAAGCATCAAAATCAGCCAGGGGGAAGAGAGAGAAATATTTCATAAAGAAAACAATGCTTAGAAAAACCACTGACTTTTCTTCAGAAACAATGTAATACAGAAAACAATGTCATTAACATATTTAAACAACTAAATTTTCTTTTGCTGAAACGTAAACCTAAAATTCTGTATCAATTTGTAGTTTCCATATCCATGGAAAATACCTTCCCCAAAACGAAGGTGAATAAAGATATTTTCAGATAACTGCTGAGAGAATTCATCAGCAGAAGTTATTCACTATAAAATAAAAAGTTAAAGGAAGTTCTTCAGGCTGAAGGAACATAATACAAGATTAAAGTCAGGAACTGCAAAAAGAAATGAAAAATTCTATGGGTAAAAAGAAAAGAACTTTTTTTTTCTTTTGGGCTTGCAGGATCTTAGCTCCCCAACCAGGGACTGAACTTGGGGCCGCAGCAGTGAAAGCTCCAAGTCCTAACCACTGGACCACCAGGGAATTCCCGAAAAGAACGTTTTATTTTCTTTATTTTTTATGTACTTTTAAATCTCTTTTAAAAATCATTTTTAATTTAAGTAGTCAATGTGTTGTGAGGGTTATAACATATGTGTAAGTGATATATGATGACAAGAGACAGGAGGAGTTAGATAAAAGCACGTGGTTATCACACGGTTTATAAAGTGATATAACATTTTGTTAGGTTCAACTGGTAAGTTAAAGATGCATATAGTAAAAGCAACACTAAAAATTACACACAGAAGAACAGCTAAACAGTCACTTAAGAAAAGGTGAAATAAAATACCAAAAAGTACTCAACTCAAAAGAAGGCAGTAAAGAAGGAACAGGGAACAAAGAACAGATAAAACAAATAGAATACAAATAAGGCAAAAGTCCAGAACCCAAACCGCTGAATAATTAAATAGGTTAAATATTCATTGTGAAAGGAAGATACTATTTGACTAGATTAAAAAGGATGACTCAACTACATTTTGAATACAAAAGTCATACTTTACATACAAAAGTATGAACAGGTTTACTACAGTAAAAGGGTAAAAAAAACAACACCCTAAAAATGTTAAGAATTAAAAAGCTGGTATAGCTAGAGTAATATTAGACAAAGTAGACTTAAAAACAAAAATATTATTAGAGATAAAGAGGAATATTTCATGGTAATGAAAGACTGAATTTATCACCAAGTCCTAAAAATACTAAATAGGTATACCTATTGAGAGCTTCAAAAAACATAAAGCAACTAAAGGAGATAAGACAAATCCAGTATCATCACTAAAAATGAACACTCCTCTCAGTTATCGATAAAACAAATATACACAGACATACACAAAGTAAGGATGTAAAGATTCTTGAAGAAAGATAAGGCCAACAGGCACATGAAAAGATGCTCAACATCGCTGATTATTAGAGAAACGCAAATCAAAACTACAATGAGGTATCACCTCACACCAGTCAGAATGGCCATTATGGAAAAGTCTATAAATAATAAATGCTGGAGAGGGTGTGGTGAAAAGGGAACCCTCCTGCACTGTTGGTGGGAATGTAAATCGGTACAACCACTATAGAGAACAGTATGGAGGTTCCTTAAAAACTAAAAATAGAGTTACCATATGATCCTGCAATCTGACTCCTGGACATATATCCAGAGAAAACTAATTCGGAAAGATACAAGCACCCCGATGTTCACTGCAGGACTATTTATTGGGTTAGCTAAAAAGTTCGTTCGCGTTTTCCCGTAACACCTTGCAGAAAAACCCGAACTTTTTGGCCAACCCAATACAATAGCCAAGACCTGGAAGCAACCTAAATGTCCATCGACAGATGAGTGGATAAAGAAGATGTGGGGTGTATGTGTATATATATAGCGAAATATTACTCAGCCATAGAAAAGAATCAAATAATGCCATCTGCAGCAACATGGATGGACCTAGAGATTATCATACTAAGTGAAATAAGCCAGACAAAGAAAAACAGATCACTTATATGTGGAATCTAAAAAAAAAAAAAAAAAAAAAAAAAAAAAGGGAAAAGAAAAGAAAGATGCAAATGAACTTACTTTCAGAACAGAAACAGACCTACAGACATAGAAAACAAATTTAGGGTTACCGAAGGGGAAAGGGATGGGGGAGGGATAAATTAGGAGTTTGGGATTAACATATACACACTACTATATATATAAAACCAACAGGGACATACTAGATATTTTGCAATAACCCAGAAGGGAAAAGAACCTGAAAAAGAATATATATATGTATGTATAACTGAATTACTATGCTGTACGTCTGAAACTAATACAACACTGTAAATCAACTACATATACTTCAATTAAAGAAAAACTTTTAGAAAGGACGCTCAACATCATTAATCATTAGAGAAATGCAAATCCAAACTACAATGAGATATGTCATCTCACACCACTCAGAATGGCCATCATCAAAAAATCTAGAAACGATAAATGCTGGAGAGGGTGTGGAGAAAAGGGAACACTCTTGCACTGCTGGTGGGAATGTTAACTGGTTCAGCCACTATGGAGAACAGTATGGAGGTTCCTTAAAAAACTACAAATAGAAGTACCATATGACCCAGCAATCCCATTACTGGGCATATACCCTGAGGAAACCAAAATTCAAAAAGAGTCATGTACCACAATGTTCATTGCAGCTCTATTTACAATAGCCCAGAGATGGAAACAACCTAAGTGCCCATCATCGGATGAATGGATAAAGAAGATGTGGCACATATATACAAGGGAATATTACTCAGCCATAAAAAGAAACGAAATTGAGCTATTTGTAATGAGGTGGATAGACCTAGAGTCTGTCATACAGAGTGAAGTAAGTCAGAAAGAGAAGGACAAATACCGTATGCTGACACATATATATGGAATTTAAGAAAAAAAAAATGTTATGAAGAACCTAGGGGTAAAACAGGAATAAAGACACAGACCTACTGGAGAACAGACTTGAGGATATGGGGAGGGGGAAGGGTGAGCTGTGATAGGGCGAGAGAGAGACATGGACATATACAGACTAACAAACGTAAGGTAGATAGCCAGTGGGAAGCAGCTGCATGGCACAGGGATACCGGGTCGGTGCTTTGTGGCTGCCTGGAGGGGTGGGATAGGGAGGGTGGGAGGGAGGGAGACAAAGAGGGAAGAGATATGGGAACATATGTATATGTATAACTGATTCACTCTGTTATAAAGCAGAAACTAACACACCACTGTAAAGCAATTATACCCCAATAAAGATGTTAAAAAAAAAAAACCACTTTTAAAGGAGAGTATCTTCATAAACTTGAGGAAGGTAAAGATTTCTTAGAATACAAAAAACACTATTCATTAAAAAAAGAGATTAAATTTCCTGCTCATTAAAAACTACTACTAAGAAAAGAAATAGGCGAGCCGCAGTCTGAGAATACTGACATATATGTGACAAAGGACTTATATCCATTACATGCTAAAAAAAAAAGGAACTCCTACAGCTCGACAATTAAACATCCCAATAACAAACAGGCAAAAGACTGGAAAGACTATCACAAAAGCGAAGACACATGAATGGCTAATGAGCACAGGAAAAGGTGGTCACTATCACCAGTCTTGGGGACATGCAAATGAAAACCACTATATACCCACTAGAACGGCTAAAATCAAAAAGACCAGCCACATCAAATGGTGAGGATGTCATGCAGCTGGAACTCTCATACCTGTGGGGATGCAAAATGATAAAACTGTGGGAAACCGTTTGCTCTTTTCTTATGAAGGTAAACACACATACACCCTATGATCTGGTAATTCTACTTCTAAGTAGTGAACCCAGAGAAATGAAAATTTAAGTGTACAAAAGTTGATACAAGAATGTTCCCAGTAGCCTTATTCATAACAGTCCTAAACTGGAAACAACCCAAACATCCACTGGCAGGTAAATATAAATACAGTATTTCCATTCAATGAAATACTATGAAGCAATAAAATGGAGTAATTTCTGAGACACAATATGGATGAATCTCCAAAAACAATGTCTGTTAAGTGAAAGAAACAAAGTAATAAATACTATACAGATGCCATTTACATGAATTTTTCCTATGAATAGTCAAAACTAACCTATGATGACAGAAATCAGAAACTGAGGGTGAGATGACAGAAAAGGATATAAGAGGTGGTGGAAGTACTTACTCTATGCCTTGTTTTAGGTAGTGGATATATACTGTTGTATTTAAAAGTTAAAAAGTTAGAACACTTAAAATACTCATCTTACTGTTATAAATTATACTTCAACAAAACAGCATCGTTTATACTCTTAATTCTTCATCCGCCTTCCCCACCAAAGGAAAAAAAATAGATAGTAGGTATGGATTTCATTACTAGGAAGCTAAAATGGGCCCTTGAAACATAAAATGAGAAATTAAAAGTAAAAATAAAATCACTAAGGAAATAAAGCAAACAAATATACCCAACAATAGTGCATGCACACCTGTTTATACTTATGGTTAAAATCCCTAGTGCATTGTTACAATGTAACCATTTGGTTATGGATTTGATTTTTTTGTTGCTGAAAATTTATTTCTATTCAAAGAGGAGTAATTATCTTACACTTTTAAAAATAAAGTTTCTTAAGTCAGTTGCTTAATTGCAGCTAAAGAAAACCTCAAATAATCTATGGTTAATTAATATGTATTAAATGTGGGTCAAGATACTCACTTTCAATTTTAAGGGAAAAGATTTAACTACTCTTTTCTGAAATGTCCCCCCTAAACAATTTAAAATAATTATACCTGAATTTTGGAGAAATGATAGGTTATAATTCATTGTGACTTAACTGTGGTTTTATAAGGCAGAGATTACGGAAATGGAATGAGATGAATGTTTCATTTAGAAAAAGGAAAAAAAACAGCAGCAGAAGAAAAAAAACTTCAAAGTGGAAAAAGAAGTGGCAGCCTGTACTGCAGAGAGACAAAAACATAAAGAAGGCTTCACATCCTCCATGCTAATTAAAATCAACTGGTAGGAGCAACCTTGAATGCTGCAGAAGCTAAGGACTCCTAGGCTCTGTTTTGGTTCAATGGGAAAAGGGGCCATGACTGATAAAGCTATGTGGACAAAGGCAAAAGGATTCAGGATGTCTGCTTGGTATTTTCCATCCCTTCCTTATGGGGAGTAGGCATAATTTAGCTGCCGGATATTACAATGCCTGGAACTTCAGCAAATAAGGCAAAATGCAGTTAAGTTACAAATCAGTTGTGAAAGGTAGTTTTATATATATATAATTTTTAAAAATATTCTTAAAAAAACCATTTGATATTAAAAGTTAAGGCTCCATAGCTGAAGGTGAATTTACAGCACATAAGCATCATCTTCAGTTCACTGGAAATGACACCTGGTGGCAGCATCGCTAAAACGCAAGGGCAAAATAAAAAGTGTAGCAAAAATAAAATCTCTTTAAGTGTTGAAAATGCAAAAACTACAATCACAAGGTGTCTGGTATATGTATCACATACGATCACATATTTGTAGATTATTTTCATCTTATACTAGAAACAAGCTAGATTACAAAACATATGATTATTTTCAGATATATAAAACAAAGATGTAAATCAAGATGCAAAACTGTTATCATTTACTCTATTAAACTGACACAGTTTAGGTCTCTGAAAAAAGTTCTCAGATAAAAGAAAATTACTAAAACGTACCTAACGTGTTTAAAAACCTCACTTAAATTTTAAAGATTCTGGAGATGTGAAACTCCTGTTACCCAAGCTAGGAATCTGAAATCTATCAAAGGACCATTTAGTCAGTTCATATTCTTGTCACAACCTGCTTAAGTCAAGAATCCTTTTCTCTCATCTGAACTTAAAAAAAAAAAAGAGCCATTTACTGCAATTATGACTTCCACTGTTCACAGCTGCAGTATTGTTAACTGTGACTTCACTACATACTCAAACTATGAAAAACAAAGGTCAAACTTACTCATTCTACTGTGGAAACAAGGCATGGTGATTTGATCAGCTACCTCAAAAGGCAGACATACAGTTTCAAAAGGAAGCCTTAAAGAGCACTAAGCAAACACTGGTCCATACAGATAGTTCAGGTCAAACTCTATAACCAACTTATGAAGAAAATATATACCTAAGTTATCAGTGGAACTACTGTAAATAACTGACTTCAGCAACACTGATTTCAAGTAAATACAAAATGCGCTATATAAAGACAGCTCAGTAAAAGAAATAACAAAGGCTCAAAAAAATTATTTCCCTATTTTACCCGTTTTCCATCTTTGGTCTTCTTTAAGTTCCAAGTGCCATCTGGCAACTTCTCAAAGAACTTTCTTGCTTTTGGTGCTTGGTCAAGAATATGAGCAGGTGGAATACCCAGAACTTCCACTATTTTATTCATCTGATCTACCTGTATTAAAAATAAAAACAAAACACCTGTAATTTCTACTGTAGGACGTCCTATCTGTGCTCATCAATTCATTCATTCATTCATAAATTAGAAATAAATAAATCGAGCATCTCCTGTGTGTTGGGCACTCCTCGGGGCAGTAAGCACAGAATAATGAACAAAAGAGAAAAAGTCCCTGCCCTCTTTGAGCCCCACACTCCACAGAGGGGAGGGTACACAATTAAGCAAACACATACATCCATGGGATGGTAGGTGGTCATGGATACAATGGAGAGTAAGGAAATGATTGGAGGGAGTTTTAAAAAGTTTTGGGAGAATTTTAGTTAAATAATCACACACACAGAGAAAAAAAAACCCCAAAGGCTTAAAAGTGTGGACCCAATAAAAGTATTTTTTTAAGTGCACATTAATTCACTCAAATACTGAGCATCTACTATATGCTGGAAACCATGCCCACTAGAACACAGCAATAAACAAAACAAAATCCCTGCCCCAAAGTTTGTGTTGTAGAGGAAGAGATCACCAAGAAGCAAATACGTAATAAGAAAATACGTATCAGGTGACCACTAAGAACCAAGGAGAAAATTAAAAGGGGATGGAGAGCGAGAAGGGCACTGCAACTTAAAACAGGGTGTCACGAAAGGCTTCCCCAAGAAGGTGACGTGAGAGCAAAAACATGAAGGCCACGAGGGCAGGAGCCGCGAGGGCAGGAGCCAGAGCACTCCAGGCACGGAGAAAGAATGAACGCAAGGGCCCTGGTAGGAGCCTGTGCTTCGTTCATAGGGACCTGAGAGACAGCTGTGTGTGCTGGGCCGGAGCCGGCGGGGGTGGGGCGGGGCGGGGGG